TGTGAGGAGGAGGAGGTGGAGGGAGCTTGCCCGTGGTTGGCCGTACAGCACTAGGGAACGTCGCTGTGGCGGAGATAAGCACGTCTGCAGCGCAAAGCTTTGCAGCTGAAGTGAAAGGGTGGTGGATAGCCGATGAGCAGCTTGGGCGAAGGATTGTCCCTAGTCCGTCAAAAGTTCATAAAAAAAAATTGCTGTCCTATGTTAAAAGATGGGGAGATGGAAAAGAGCATGAATGAACGTGGGGTTGGAGCTTCTTGGCATCCAAAGACAGCGCCCAAGCAGTTGGGAACTGCAGGATGGATGCATTGTACTTGAAAAACGATGAGAACAGTGCGAGGTGTGATGTGTTAAAAACCAAAAAAGGATCTAAAGCTGCTGCTCAGGCTGCTGGACAGTTTGAAGGTGGCATGTCCTAAAATAGCTGCAAGTCTTTATTTGAAGCCATTGAATGTATGTAATGATGGAAGAGAATCATAGAATGGTTGGGGTTGGAAGGGACCCCTAGAGGTCATCTAGTCCTCAGTCCTAGAAGACCTCAGGCTTTTGATTTAAGTTAAAGAAGATTCCGTCATTCCCTTGACAATTAAATTTATGAAGTTGCAGAATAGCACTGTAACTTTGAAAACTCTGTGATGAATTCTTAAGCATCTCATGATCCCAAACCATTCGCATCCAGCAATTGCTGAGAAAAAACGTGTACTGCGTGGCTGGTGCCTCCAGCTCGGGAAGGGGCTGGGAAGCGGCGCGCTGCTTGATGCTGACACCCCCGCGAACAGGCAGGACGTGCCCTGTCGTGTTTGGGTTGGTTTTTTTTTTTTTAAATAAGAGATCTTGTGAGCAATGAGACAGCCTAGTAGATCCGATACCTTATTTCTTTGCTCTAAGCAGCAGAGCACGGGGTTGATAGCATTCCGCATCCCAGAAGAGCGCTGTGGAATGAGGGAGAGGAAGGGTCAGTGGGCTGAAACGCGGCTAATTAAGAAATAATTGATCACAAAACGTTCTTTTTAAAGAATGCTTATTGCGCTCTCGGTTCAGCTGAGGAATGAGGTTGAAGGAAAGCCTCTGTAGTGCAAAGAAAGTGATTTATGGTTTAAACCTTTTAAAAAGTCCAGACTGCCCTTTGTTTGTAGGAGTTTATTTTTAACAAATGAACTTGGCGTAATGTGAGAAAGGCCGTATGAATGCTGCTGCCTTCTGGCATAAATCTGACCGATGGCAGGTCGTGTTCCTTGCATGTACCAGCTCTCAAAGCAGACAGGAGCCAAGCACCATGCACGTGTTTGTGAACACCTTGGCGGGGGGGTGTGTGGGGGGGAAGCAGTTTAAACAACTTAAAACCACTTTAAGCAAGTGGTTTTGAGCAAAGAGGCAGCCCCTAGGAAGCAAACAGATTCGGAAATGTTGTGTCCAAACAATCCAAATATGCTGGAGTTAGAAGTGATTCTGTTAACGGGGAGGGTCGGACAACGTTTCCTCACGTGCACTTCTGCAGCCTCGCCCACGATGCAACATATGCTGCGATACTGGAAAAGCTAATTAATCCTATACCTGTGGAATAACGCCGCGGAGAGTGGAGAGAATTAATTATTAATGAGAATCGACATGCAAATGCTTTCTGATGTACAGCCCTAGAGAGCTGAACAAGCAGAACATTTTAATTGCGGTTAATTGGTGAAGGTGGAGGAGCTGTGGTGGCTGCCGGGCAGCTCGGACCCGACTCGCCGGGGAGCTGCCTGGCGCCTGCCCCGAACTCCCTGCACGAGTGTTTATAAGAAGCCAGGTCTTGCAGAGTCAGATTGATTGCCCATGCTGGTTTTCTGTTATTATTTTTTAAGATCATTTCCATGCGCATTTCTTCTAGCAGCTTCCTCAAGGCTCGGGCAAGAAAGCAGCGTCCCCGGAGAGCGGCTGGAGCTGGAGCTGCAGTCCTGTTGCAAGGACAATGAAGGAAACGGAAGAGCAGCTGCTGCTGGTGAGCAGGGAAAACCAAGTGCTGAAGCTCAAGGTGCGTTTGGGGTTTGGTTTTTATGGTTTCAGAGGAAGAGTTGGGTCCTGGCTGCTTCCTTCCCGCCTGCTGCAAACTCTTGCATTCCAGCCAGCAACAAAATCCATGTGGAAATCTGGGGACGCATCCCATTTGTGGCTAGTGAGACAGCACGGTCGGCTCTGTTGGTACTTGAGAGCAGGGGTATTTGCAAGCAGCTGGAAGTGCATCTTAAACCATCAGCCTTTGCTTGTCGTGGAGGGGTGGCTCAATACTGAATAAATCAGCCTTTATTTGGAAACTAAAATGCCTGTCAGATACTGCCCACAGGTGTTTAGGATTCCTTTCTTTTCAGCATTTACCCTTATCAAAAAATAAAGTGTTATCTATATAGAGGGCTTATTTTTTGGCACGTGATTATAACATCGCTTTCTTTTTAAAGCACAATATATACATATCATACAATTACTCTTTCTAGCTGGAAGCCACGAGAGAAGCAGGGGTCCAGGCTCTCCGATCTGCTTCCCAGAAACTCTACGCGAATTACCAGACTCGGTCAGAAGAACTGAAAAAAAGGCATGAGAATGAGAAGCAGCAAATAGAGGTACAGACCTCTCCCGCGTGGGGGCACGACCAGCCCCTTCACTGTCAAAACATTTACGTGGGCTCTGGCTCTCGGTGCTGCAAACTTCGACCTAAGAGCTACTGAGCCTCTTCCGTTAGTGCCGTGGGGAAATAGGAAAATTAATAAGAAAAATTATTTTGGTTTTACTCCTGATTCTTGGAATTGGGTTGGTAGAGTTGGCTCAAAATTCCTTGAGCCCCATCTCTGTCATCTGCTGCCTTCACCAGCTCCCGGCCCGCCTGCATTAATGCCCTTCTTGGTCCTCCCAGGCCTACAATCTCCAAGAAGAAGAGAAGCTCCAGCAAAGCTCAGAAAACGCCAGCCGCCTCGCTGAAGGCATCAGGGAAAAATGTACCCGCATCGCAGAGATGGAGAAGCGCGTGCAAAGGATGGAGGAGGTATGTCCCCCTGCTCCTCCTGTCCGTCCGTCCCGGCACCGGGAGTCAGCTCCAAGCGAGGAACCTGCCCCGGGAGCACCGGCGCTTGGGAGCAGGAGTTAATTGTTTTCAGGGTTTGGGGCTTGTTAGCTGCCACGTTACACCAAATTGAGAACCTTTAGCTGTAACTATCAACAAAATGTGCAATTTGAGCTCCCTCTTTATTTCAGAGCTGGCTTAAAAACTGTAGAGCATCAGGGAGAAGGCTTAATTTGCAGCTAGTAATGACTTCTACTCCCGAATAGCTGCTCTTTCACCTTCCCCCATAGGTCGGTGTACTTGTAGCATTTGAAATGAAAATGTAGCCATCCTAGCGCTAAAACCTGCTCCTTCTGAACTCTCAGAAAAATGCCGCTGTAAGTATCCCAAACCCCGGGCAGGCAGCTGACTGCCGGAGCAATCCGATGACTGCGTGCACAGAAACTTGCAGAAAAATTCTTCTCCTTTATCGTGAATTTTCCTTTGGTGGTGGCAGTTGCGCTGGAGGAAGCGATGGCACCGTGCCTCATTTCCCCGATGTACGCGCTCAGGAGCAGTGGGAATTCCTCCTATGGAAGGGCCGTTCTAAACCAAAGTTTTTCCTGTCTTGGGATTCCTGTAAACACAGGGGCAGTGAGCGTATTTCCACCCCCATCACATGCAGGTAACCTTACTGATAAAGAGTTTTGTCACCAGATTTTTCCCTCCGTGGACAAGGTTTTGAGCGGTGGACGTAGCAGCAATGCAGTATCCTGCAGCCGCTGAGCGTGGACTCGCCCAAGGCCCAAGGATTTTGCTAACTAAGTAAAGGCAAACTGCTATTTTAAGAGAGGTTGGACTTTCCTCAAGTTTAATTGGCACTGTCGTCCCTTCCGGATTCAGAGAGGTCAGACTGGTTTGCAGCTCTGGCTGATGTTGATGCAGGGTGATGTAGGTGGTTCTTGCTGAAATCTGTTTTCAGACACCGAGCGGAACCGTCGAAGGCACAGCCAAACCTCTCTTGCTAATGGAATGGCAGGAAATGTAATAAGAGTTTTCATATAACTTAAATTGCTTCCTTAGGAAAAGAAAGCCCTGATACAGAAGAAAATGTCATTCGAAAAGATGCTTCAACAGATGACATCAAGGAATGAAGACAGCAAACGGTGATTAAATGCATGCAATAGTGTTTTTCTTTCTTTCTGGGGGATTATTTCATGTAGAGTACCAGTCAGTCACTTGCTCAAGTTCCTTCTGGCAGTAAAATTATTCATGGCTGAAAGCAACTGGTTCCAAACCTGATTTACCATGATTGCTTGAAGCAGCCCAGAACGATGGCGATGTCCTGCAGCTCTTAGATGTTGATTCTACTCCAATTCCTAGTACTTTTTCTTCCACCTTGCAGGCACAAATCGCTTCCCTTTCCCGATTCTCGCGTGGAGTCGATGCTGCTTTGGTGCCATTGCACATGCAGTAGGCAAGGCAAAAGCCTTCATTATTTAGGAATTTACTTATCACCGGCTAGCATGGGTGGTCCTACCAGGCAAAATATGTCTCAAACTCTGGTTTTATGAGTTCTGCTCAGTAAAGAAGCCTCTATAGGTGTCGTTCTGTGTGAATTACAGCCATGTATCCTCAGGAACATCCTTGCTAGCAACAAGCTCTTGAGCTGACCCCAAGGTGGGAGAGCGGCTGGGTGGGTCAGGGATCCCTGGGGGTTGAATCTGCTCTCACCCGCAGGTGCCTGGATCTCCAGAAGCAGATTTTCTCCCTGCAGGAACAGATCTGCCACCTGCAGCACGTGATCCAGGCGCAGCACCACGGCCTGCGTGGCGTGATACAGGAGGTCAGGCTGGCGCGGCGTCCCACCGGGCAGGTCTTCAGGGGTCGGGAAAACAAACGGGAGGCGCTGGGCTTTGGGCTCTCATCTTTAGCCCGTGTGCTGGGGATGAGCAGCTTGCTCGTCACGCCGTGCCTGGGTTTGTGCACCCCGCGTTCAGACATCCGTACGCGTTTTGAGGTTAAGATGAGAAATGACATCACTGTAAAAATGGGGTTATTGTGGTGGAGTTGGCAGCTTCAGGCAGACCCCCTGAGTTCTCCTAGAGTGTTCCTGGGGGGAAGACCTGGCTCCCCGCTCTGTGCCGTGCTCCCGGGGGGGGACCTGGCTGACCCAGGGATGGTCTCCCTGAGCAGCGGGTTTCACATGAAGTCAACGAAGCTGCTCTCATGAGCAAAGGCAACAGGCTGACGTCCTAGAGAGACTACATCAAAATTCAAAGCCATCAGCCTGCTTCCCAAAGTCACGATACAGCGTGAGCTGTTTTACTTACCGGCTGCTTTTGTAGGTATGAACTCCCGCTGTACTCCCCTCGCCCCGCAGACCACGTGCTTGCCTTTTCCCATCCAGCTAAGGCAAGGCCCCGCGCTAATTGGCTCTCGTCATCAGGTTTCTGTACATATGCCAACAAGAGGTAGACTTGGTATCCTAAGGAAAACACAATGCTGCATGTTGAGAAATTGTTTTATAAATCGTTTAATCAATTAGTTTCAGTTCTTCTATGGTAAAAGACTAGGGACTTGACTGGTCTGCGATTCCCCTGGTACGGTGAGACATTAACTCTGTGGTTTTGTTCGAAGCAGAAACCCTTTTTGATTAAGGTTTCAAATATCTTTCTTACAAACTATTTCCTAACACTCAGGCAGAGGAACTGAACAACAAACTCCGAAGCCAAGATAAGAAAATAGAAAACCTGACAGAGAAGCTGACTGCACTGGAAGCGCAGGTAAGGTTGGAAAGTAAAGAGATATATTGAAGGGAGAGAGCAAAAGTGGTTCTCTGCAATCAGGGGGTCCTTCACACTGCTGGGCTTGTGTCAGTACGACACTGTCGGGGTGGTGTTTCTTTGCACTGCATCTTTCACTCTATTTAAAATGAAATAAAATAAAAAACCCCACAAGAAACTCCCTTCCAAACCTTTCTGGAGGAGCAGCAGGTCCTAGCCAGCATCCAGGCTTGTCTCTTGCCTGCTATGTTACGCTGAGAGGGGTTTGTGGTGTTTTTTGTTTTTTTTTTTCCTTGCAGAATAAAGAACTGAAAGACAGAGTGGAGTTCTGGGCTGGCCAGCCCAAGAGTAAAGTTTCCAAAGCTGTCTGGACAGAGTAAGTGCCACAGGGAACGGCCGAGCCCGTGGCTCTTGCAGGCCTCCTCCAGTGTCCCCACGGGGCTTTGAGTGAGCTGAGTCAGGCCTTGCTGGGAGCAACCAAACTTCATCCTGCAGCAATTATCCTCTCTGTAAAGGAGAGGAAGAACACAAGCTCTGCTTCCACCTTCATAGCTGGTGGTGTGGTGGCTGTAGCCCGAGTCCTGACTCCCACGCAGCCACCCAGCAAGATGGGGAGTGCTCAGCGTACCAACCACGGGCAGCTGCAGGAGCACGGACGTCTGGTCAGGATTAAATGGGAGCCTTTTCTGGGGGGATACAGTCCTTTGCCAAGTAGATCTGGATGCAAGTTTCTGCTCTCAGTTAGCGGAACACGCGTTTGAAGTCAGCTGCACCATATCCAGGGCCATAATTATAAACCTCTGACTTATTTCATATATGGTTGTGGGTGGGTTTAAGCCTGGCTTGGGCAGGTGAGGGTGTCTGAGTGATCTCTACCTTCTTGTGCCTCACTCTGTAGTGCCCTGCAGGATTCTAGAGCATCCCCTTACCTGATGCTCACCAGGCTAAGGAAGCAAGAGAGCTAAAGGAACGGCTGGGTGTTTGTCTCCTACCTTTGTCAGAAGGACTTTTCCTGCGTGCTGCAACCCGTGACTCCTACGGCCTCTTTGTTACTGCAAAGCACCTTCAGCATTGGTGCTGCAGAGCTGCACGTGAAAGAATAAACCTGGAAATAAGGCAAGAGCTGAAGGGCACCCCCGGCCATGCCGGGGGATGCTGCACTGCCAGACCAGCTCTGCGCTGCCTACACAGACTGCAGCAGAGACTCGGGGTAACCGCGCCTCTCATTTAGGTAAGATTGTAAAATAAACCTTCAGCTACCCGGTACGTCGTTACAGTCGCCGCTTTCCCGCCCGCTGTTGGATACAGGGTGGAGGTGGAGCGGTGGCCCTGTCCTTCCAGGGGGGCTCAGCTCTCCTCCAGTGTTCAACCCCATGGGTACAGCGTGGTTTAGGCGCAGCAGCACTGTAGTGTCACAGTGTCCTAGGGCAAGGAGCGAGCAGATCCCTTTTGGGGTTAACCTGGCTCTTGCTTCCCTGAAAACTTTCCACAGCAAATAGTAAGTTTGCAGCTCCTCCGTGAGCCTTTCCTCCGGCTGAAATCCCTTTTGGAGGGGAAAGCAGTTGCTGCAGGGGGGAGAGCTGGTTTTTTCTCCTCCCTAACACGCAAGAGGTGTTGCAGTGGTCAGCAATGCCCTCCTCGAGAGATGCGGCACGCCTCGGGAGCTAAACAGTGTCCCCAGGGGAGTGACAGTGGCTTTGCGGGCTCACGTTTACCTGCGGGACAGAGGGAACCCGAGAACGGCCGCGTCTCTGGTCTGTCTTTTAATCACTGACACGCAGACTGAGCAGCATTTTTTGGGGGGGGGGGGGGGCAGACAAAATAAAAAAGGTATTGATTCTTAAGTAAGGCTTAAAGGTACTAAGTTTCAGTTTGTTCCTTTTCTTACCTAACTTCAGATATATTATTATTATTCACACATGGTGTCACTCTGGGATTATCTCGGTTAAGGTACAAATAAATGCTTACCTCCGGGGTGAGGCAGGTTGTGTCTTGGCAGGCAGCGCAGGACCCAGCCCCCCAGGTGATGCTTGGTCACCATTTGAGAGGCTGAGATGGTCACTGCTTACCCATCCCTCTCTCGGGAGAAGCTGAGCTGAACTTGAAGTCAGGGGGCCAGTGCTGAGCTGAGACACGGGATTTAAAAATGTACTTTTATTCTGAAAATAACAGTGCAGAAACTGAGCCACAGGATACATTCCTCAGCTGCATTACACAAACCCAGACACCAGTGAATCAGCTGACAGTATGTTTTGAAGCCACGGGTACTTTGGTAAAACAGAGTGACATTAACATCGGTAAGCAAGCGCCACAGTCCAATCAAGGGGCACCTATAATCAAAAATACTATTTGTGTTCAAGATAGTTTCACTCACACTCATAGCACTAGGCAGAGCACAGATCTGTTGAAGACAAACACAAACCATGCTTACAGTAGCATAACAGAAGGCAACACTTAAAAGGTAATCGATACAAGAGGCTTAGTGTTTATCCGGAAGGTGAAAGATACCTTAACAAAACCAAAGAAGAACCATTTAACTTCCAGAAGTTGAGTAAGATACAACAGGCTGCTGCTAATACACAGTTTGTCCATTAAGCCCTATTGCACGATGAGGATGGACAACTTTAGGGTCTACTTTCTAAAGTTATGTTTTAACTAGGATGCACAGAGCAAAGAATCATTTCCTCTGTTGCCTTTAACTAGTTTAGATAGATAGAAATAATAATAAACTAGAAACAGATCTGCCCAGCATCAAAGAGAATAGTCCCAAGTCAACAGCGTCCTCTGGGGGAAAAAAAAAAAACCCAAACCCACAAAACTTATCCTATATGGGGGTGTGGGGTTTTTTGGGGGGGAGGGAATTTATGTTTAAACTGGAAGAATTATTAAGACAGGAAAGAAGCTGTGAAGCTTTGGCTTTCTCTTTAAAGGTGCCTCAAGCCAGGCCTCCCAGCAGTCCAGTAAAAACCAATTCATTTTTACAGCTTCACATCAGTTACAACCCTTTTTTTTTTTTTTCCTCTCTCCTTTTCTTTGTAAGTAAGATCAGAGCATGGTCTGAAACTCCTACAGTGCTCACACCTGTATAAAAATAGCAGTCACGTGAGGTTATTTTTACGCTTGCTACTTTTCTTCAGTTATAGTGCCAAGAACACAAATTTAAAAATAACAGCTCCATAGTTTTTTTTTCTTTTTTTGAAGTTTAGGCTGAAAACTTTTAGTTGAAATAGCTCTAGGAGGTAAAAACCTCTTACCTTGCAACAGTCTCAAAGAGTCGCTATGAAGCGGGTATCAAAATCACATCCTAAGAAAGTTGCTCCCATCACCCAATCCTCTAAAATGTAAACATACATATGACAACCCTTCACACATCCTGAATGTTAAATAAGACGTAGCCTTCAGAAAACAGTTAAGGCAATTGGTTTTTATAAAGTTACCAAGACAGCAAGGAAATGACAGCTGCTCTCCAATGTCTTCTGCTACATCGGACTTACTGCCAGTCTCAGCCACGTAAGCAGTCAGTAAATTGCCTGTTCTTGCCTTATCTTTCCTCTTTAAAAAAAAAAAAAAGTGCATGTTTCAGCCACCCAACCCACCCCTCCCTTTTTTTTTTTTGTTTTTTTGAGAAGCAAATACCTTTCTTCTTGCAAATCTCTGTAAAAAGCCACAGAAGGCAAAGGGTATAGAAAAGCTAAGAGTTCCTTAAGCCCCTGCTACTGGTTTTCTTTAGTGCCACTACCTCTCCTAGGGGCAGGCGGGTGCTGAGCTGGACGCCGGGCTCAGGACTTGGCCAGGGCTCCAAGCCAGCTCTGCTGCAGCGCCCTGGCTGGAAGAGGAGATGGTGAAGTGGGGAAACTGCATCAGCCAGGGGCTGAGAAATGCGGACGTGCTGCCCTGCGAGGGCAGCCCTGGGCGGCAGCCCTCCGCTGTAACGGCAGCGTGGTGCCTGCCAGGGTGGAGCAGGGAGCAAAAAATGCTTTGATTGGGAAATGACTCATTAGAACAAGTCAAAAAAACCCCCCAAAACCCACACATTACTGGCTGATCACAGATAAAAATACTTCCTAAAATGAAAGCAGAGCTTTAAGTGATTGTGAAGCCTATATTACATGATGTGCACACACTACCTCCTGCCCCCCAGCCGATTCTAACAGCGCTCTCATGGCTTGGAACAGGCATTGCCAAGTGTCAGCACAGACCCTGCAAGGACTTCTGGAGAGCATCTGCTGAAGCATCTAAAAACTGCATTGAAAAATAGTTGTTAATACTCTCCTGGCCTTTTCCAGTTGATGGCAGAATTTTCTTTATGGCTGGACAATATTTAAAATACAATAATAAAAATAAGCTCATTCACATCTGTATGTTCGTGGAATAGGTACTTCTGTGCAGGTTTGTTTTTTTTTTTTTTTTCATTTTACACCATTTCAGCTCTAGTCGTTTTGCCCTGACAATAGCTCCTTACTTCAGAGAGACACTCCAGACCCAATCCAGCCAAGCACTTACACACAAGCTTAAGTAACTTCTCAAACTGGGCTCTCTGGTAAACACCATAAACATGTAAAGGCATTTATCTAAAGCATGTTGCCTCTAGAACTGCTTCAATCCTGCAATTTCCAGCCAGCCCTAGGTATTCCCAGCCCTCCACCTGTCTCGGCAGGTAATTTGTTTTATTCCTGAGGATGCAAAGCAGCACAGGACCCTGCCCTGGCACTGGCTCCCATCTCCCCCCAACCCCAGCAGGGCTGGCCGAGGCACCGCAGCAGCAGCATGTAAACACAGGCAGTGTAAATTCACTGCTGGAGTGAGCTCTACAGCTGAGAAGTACACTTTTCAGTGTATGCATCCAAAAAAAAAGAAAATCCCATTTGACAACAGCACATTTCCTTTCTTGCATTCCTAAAAAAGGTCTTGGCACTACTACTCCAAGGCGAGGGGCTGGGGAAGGCGAGGGCAAGGTCAGCAAAGGATGCACGAACGCCAGAGTAAGAGCAGCAACATCAGCTTAGAGACATTCCCTGCTGCCTCTAAGTTTCCTCACTCCTCCCGGGTCTGAATTCACTAAATGGGGCAGTTTACAAGCGGAGCAGCAACACCAGACCTCAGCACCACGCTTTGGCACCGCAAATCTTTAGCGAGGGGTAAGGGACACAGTTGTTCCCT